AAAAACAGTATTTTTGCCACTAACTTTAATGTGTCATTGCATAATCTAGATTCATATTCAAGAAATTCAAGACTAAGTTGTATTTGGTAACATTGATTTCTTTGGTGCCTATTTGATCTGTATTTGTAATAGTCTTTATACTTTCTTTCTTAAAGAGAAGTTACCAAAAAAAAAAAAACCAGGAGAGTGGATTCCGGACACTGACCTTGACACTGAAATGTAAATGATAAATCCACTGAGAATTAGAACCTTAACCCATGGCCACTGAAATGAGGTGCACGTTTGCTGCTGTGGAGAAGGGCAGTCCTCCAGCCCCTGCCCAGCCATGCTGCCTCCTGTATGCTGGCGCAGGCATTTGTGTTCCTCTTCATCTCGAGCTTTTTTAAAAATTTGTGTCAAATTGAAGTGACTGTGTAAGCATGGTCTTATTCTACTGTTTTGAGATGTATTATCTGTTGACTCTGCATAGCTGTTACTTGCTTCACGACCAGGGATGAACAGTTGCACTCACTGCTTCTTTAAAATCATATGCTTTCTTTAGGCCTGTCCCAAAGAACTTTGCAATCATCACTTAAACCAAACTCTGCAGTGGGAATTTCCAGCTCTTCATAATCTTTCACAGCACCCTTCTAAAACGTGTGCCTAGAAAAAGAAAGGAAATTTTAAACAGATTTTTATATTTATATATAATATTGAAAAAAGTCCAGCAAGCAAGGCCTGTCTCCACAAGGACGGGTGACTAAAGCCTACGGTGCAAACGGCACCTGAATATCCGAGTATCTGGGCTAACTGCCTATCCTCAAATAATATTTCTGTAGCATTCAGAAATATTAAGGTCATCCTGAGGCGGAATGCTAAGTAAGAATTAGTGACAGGTATGCAATATTTTTATTCAATAATTTGCTTTAAGGTAGTTGTGCAATTCCATGCTTATGCCTGCAGCTGGTCTCTGACATCCCTTGGGAGCATCCGGCAGTCATCCTCACCACAGCTCCTGATCAATGCTGGCTCAGCCATCCAGCCCCAGTGCAGGCAGCCCCTGCGAGGGAGCGGGGCTTTGGTTTGGCTGGCGGGCAATTCTCTTGGCAGGAAAATCAAGGGGTGTGGATGTACATCTCCAGGGCAGCTTGGCAAGACCAAGGAGGGGCAGACAGCCAAAGCTTGCTGTGGTGGGAAGAGCAATAACCAGTAAGGGGGAGGAAGGGTTGTACAGCTCCAAGTACAGCACAATCCTGATTTTGGCCATTAAACGTTATGGTAACTCTTTATAATTCCTCTCCTCACCATCTTCAGTTTGATGATAAATGGCATGACAAACCCTTGCTAACTTCTTTAAGCGATAGGTTCCCAGATCCCTTCTGTTCAAACGTAAGCCCAAAGTTGAAGTTTTCCTTTTCCTGGGAACACCTGGATTTGGTTAAACCTTCTGTATGTGCCAGTGGAAACCTGCAGAAAGACAGAGGTGCCTTTTCTGCTATCCCTACTTCTGTGGGCTGCTGTATGCCAAGGTGGGAAATTGAAATACTTAACAATAAATGTTTATTACTGTAACATTTAAATATTTGAAATTAATTAAGGGAGTCTTTTCATGTCAGTGTTGCTTTATTTAACTGTTATTGTTTCTGTGGTTTTTAGATCGTCACATCCTGACCAACAAAATGGTTGGAATTTATTCTGGGCTTTTCATTTCTTGAAGTCTGAGGGATGCTTATCTCCTGTCAAGTTCCTTGGAGAGCGATGAGGAAATGAGCAATAAAAGGCTCTTTGAGGGTCTTTTAACTTTAGTTTATTATCTATTATAGTTATTGATGTGTGGAAACCAACAGAGAAATTTTACATGTTTGTAGTTACAAAGCCCTTAACAGCTGTAGCTATGAGCTGAGCACTTACAGCTTTTTGAAATGTGTTTTTATAAATGTAACATTAAATCATCATGATTTTGTAAACCAGTCTCCTTAAGAAAATTCCTGAGATAATAATATGTGGGTTGATATACTCAGTCAGGGCTGGTTTGTGGGTACTTGCTTGCTCTCCCTCATTTTGTAATTCCACCAAGAGAGCAACCCATGATGTGGGCTTTTTGGGGGCAGGATTGATGATGGCCAAAATGCACAAAGCAGCATTGCATTTCATTTCCCCTTGCTGGATGCAGCACTGGATGGAAAAACGGGGTGGGGAGAAGAAAACTGGGTGAGTCGAGGCCACTCAGCATACTGAAGGGCCCAGGACTGTGAAAACCTCTTTCCCCTCATCAGGACTGGAGGACACAGCAAATGGCTCTACATTTCTTCATCCCTGAGGGAGCCGGATCTGGAATTTGCAGAGACTCAGCCCTTCTGGGCACTGCCCAAGTGATGGCCATGAAGAGAGCTTTCTGCCCCTACAGTGACTGCCTCTTTATTATCATCTCCTGTTCCTCATGGGCCTTTCCATGCAATTTTAGGAGAGAAGTACAGTCTTCTGTGCATTGTCCTCCTCCCTACATTTCTCTTCTTATCTGGCCTGGGTGGACTTTTTGCATCTAATCCTATCCACTGGAAATGGTGAAACTAATAAGCCATTTGGATCCAGTGCAAAGGACAGCACGAGGGGGACTGTTCTCAGCCTGTAGACATTGCTGATTAATAATACCGCCAAGGGCATACATTAAAACAAACACATCAAGAACGCAGATGTGTCAGCTCTTGTCTTTTGCATAAGAAATTCACTCTTTGGGATCCAGATTGCCGTTCAGGGCTGTGGTGCCTGTACCATCCACATTTACACTACTGCAGCCCTTGTGCGAGTGGCTGGCCAGTCTGGAAAATCTGTTCCTCTGCCAGGGACGTTCCCTGGAGGCCCCTGAATGCCCCTGACATGATCCAGCATGCAGATTTATCCGTCACACGCTTGCATGCCTGTCCCTGGCCAAACACAAGTCCCATGCATTGGGATTCCAGTAACTCAAGAAGTCTGAGAATATGCAGCAGTAAAAAAACCATCAGCCATTCAACTTCCAAAAATTGCATTAAGCCAGAAGAGACAATGTTATTTCTGCAGGTCTGTTTTAAATCAACCCAAATATTATTCTGGTGCCAGAGCTATAATTCAGTAAAACTTGATACAATCTTGGAAATCCATAGAAAGCGTTAGGAAATACCACTGGAAGTTAAGAGACCTATAGATACTGCAATAATCTACATTTTAAACTAAATAGACATCCCTCTTGAATACTAATTGTGGCACACAGCAGATGATGGTGGGTTACTTTTTCCACCAAAATCCTTAAAATTCAGAAGGCTTTGTCTGCCTGCAAAAACTGAACCGTTTTCCCAATGCTACTTGCAGCTGAAATATAGCATATGAATGTATAGGAAAGATACATCCATACTGCCATGGAAGTTGGCTAAGTGGTATTGCTGATTGCCATACTTTGATGATCATTTAGGCTACCAGTAAGGTTGACTTCCAGGATCTTCAGCTCTGCAGAGGAGTTCTGAGGGTAAGGGGTAAGGTGCAAGACAGAGCTCTGCCCTCCCTTCAGGGACTGCTGCTGCCGCTCTTCCTGTGCAGAGGCTCTAAGGAGCAGAGATTAAAATCATTGGTGGCATTTTTGATGAAATTTTACATTTTTGGATTGGCTTTGCTTCCTCTATAATTTTCCTTAAATGGAACATCGATAGGTACATTCTGTACATTTTGCGCAAATACAAATTGAGTTTCACCACACGTTTTACTTGAGAGGGAAGGTAGTTGATGCACAAAAGTTAAATGACTTGGCTTGTGAGAAAATCTGTTTTAGAGCTAGCACTGGAAGACACCAGAGCTGCTTCCCACCCCTCCTGCATACATTTCTGTGTTGTGTTTCTGCCTAAATAGGAAAGGTAAAAATATAAAATAAAGCCTGAAAATTTCTAGTGATACTCTCCTCATAGCTTCTTTCTTACAGCCTCAAGATGACTTATGAGTAAGATAACCTTCTAGTGAATGTATTGTTTTCATTGAAACGTCAGGATGATATTACTGTTGCTTCAGGCTCCATATTTTTATCATTAAAAACACAGATCTAGACACTACACATTTTTGGCCTTTTTACCAATACCATAATGTTATGATTAGATACAGAGAAGGCTTAACATTTCTGAGGAATCAGTACTGTTATCTTTCTTTTCCTCCTCTGTTTTTTACAATGGTGATGTGACTTTTTCTCTGATGAACTCTTTTAAGATATACAGTGGTGTTGGTCCGAATATTTCTATCAAGACTTTTTGGACAGAAGACGGCCTCTGATGATAAAAGACTTTCAGTGTTTGAATTTGTTATGGCTTTTAAAAACAAAATATTAGCATATTTGAAATTAATTAATGAGCCATACTTGCTGAAGAAAACCAAAAACCATTCATATAAAAAGTAAATCTGTGTAGGAATGTCTTCTGAAAATGGCAGTGACATCTTAATCCATCCTACTTAATCTTCCATGATATTATTTCATAGAATTTGGATCCTTTGGGTTTGTGTTGTACCAGTGGAGGTTTTGGCACTGAATCTAGTGAAGTCATCATCCAGACCTTGCCCTGAGCCTGGAAACATGATGCATATTTTTACTGTAGCTACCAAGAACTGTCTAAAAAGGTTTCTATGAAAGTGTTTAAGACAAACTAAGGATAATAAACTCTTTGCAATGGCCAGAGCTGTCTTGTCCCACATTGTTTGCAATGCACCATTGATATCAGAAAATATCACTGTTCTAAGAAAAATATCATTGTTATAAGAAAAATGATTGATGTAGGACTTCAAAATTCCACAGATTTGAAAGTTGCAGTGATATTGCAAAAAATTTTACAGAAAATTAACTTGCCAGATTAATTCTAAGAAGTGTGTTTTTCTTAAGAATGCTGAATGAGATGGTATGAAGAGTTATGGAGGTTTTGCACACTCAGGAGTTGATAGTACATCTGTGTAAATAACCTTACAAAAAAGTGTAATGCCTAACTTTTTTTGCTGGTCACTTTTCTCCTCAGGTTTGCCAATTTGTTGTATCTGTCAACGGCCTCAACGTTCTCCATGTGGATTACAGGACAGTGAGCAACCTCATCCTGACCGGCCCTCGAACGATTGTGATGGAAGTGATGGAAGAAATAGAATCCTGAGAAGGAAAAAAACTCTTACTGGACATTTTTGTGAGAGAAATAGTGGCGACCATGGAGCAGCCTGACACAAGGAGGCAGAACGTTGCTGTGTCTAAATAGATGATTTTGCTTTTAGGGGAGGGGGGCTCTCTTTCATTTAACAATAATAGCACTGGTGATTATGCTAAGAAGTGAACAATACATACTGGCCTATTTTCACTAGGGACTTTTCTTTGCCCGACAGTGACAAGGTTAAGGCCTTTAGGTTGTCTTTCCAGCCATGCCTGCATCGGTCAGAATGGTTTCCCACCTGAGAGGCCATGCAGTCCACCATTGGATCAAAGCACTTCAGGAAATGAAAGAACCAAACACCGTGGGGTCAGGATGTCACAGATGGTTTGCATGACATACTTATGTTGGTAAACATCCTCCTGGTGTCCAGCTTTGTGCCAGGAGCATGTGCTGTCGCAGTTGCTCTCTCCTTGGGCTGAGGGACAGCTGACTAAATGCTGGCTTGATTGCAATCGAACACAAACAAACTGCAAATGCATGAAAAAAAGCTGTCCATTCTCTGTGGAGGGTACTCTGGGACAAATGTTTGGGCCTGACCGAATACATGGATTAGTCTAGAAAGAAAAATCATGCAAATGGAAAAGCGTGCAGTACTTTCACAAAACCTGTCTTTGAAAATCGGGCTTTTTGTTTAGATGCCTACGCACTGGTTTAGGTGCTCAAGTATAAAAATGTTGATCTTGTTTTTTTCCTTATCTGTAAAGGAAAGGTGTCTTGGCCTTGCTGTTTGTCACTTTGCAGAAATTTTGGACACCTTTATTCCTAGAAGAAGAAGATTTGGTGGGTTGAAGTGGGAAATTCAGTGTTAGCATTAGCAATGATACATCGAGATGCTCCAGTAGAGAAAGTACATTTCAAATGGAAGCAATGTACTTGAATGTACATTAAGCTTGTTAGCACTTTCCAATCATCAAATGTTCTGCAAACTACAGACTTGCCACATGAATTGCATTTGACACTATTACTAATAAAACATTGTATTTAACTGACTCTTACTCTTTTTCAAACAGGATTTCTTTGTTGATGAATTAATGCATCAAATATTTTTAAAAAATGTATAGACAAATTCCATATTCTGCAGAGTTAGGTGACTCCTCAACTCTATGACAAGAGGACTGCATGGGTTTTCTTTGATGTTTGAACTGAATAAACACATCCTTGTCCACAAACTTATAATCATATATTGCAGACTTTATCTGCTGTCTAAATTTTACAATTAAAGCTTGACTTTCTATATGAGCATACCACAAATCCTTCAATTACGGGGTGGGGAAAGTATTTTTTTCCTCAAATAATTTTGAAATATGTTTTATATTAAAAATTGTTCTCACTAAATACATTGCTCTTGCAGTATGTTTTTCCCTCACTCAAACACTTCTACATCAGAGATGTAAAAACAGCAAGTCTTCAAAATCACATATGCCTGCAGCTTTGTAGGTAGAAGTCCATGTGTTCTTTGTTTCTGATATAGTATATCTGTGGTTGATTCTTCACCATGAAAACTTCTCATATTCCACTAGTATGCAGCAGTGCAGGGAGGTATAAAACTGCAGCTGCGAACTTGATACTAACAAGGGACAAAAATGTTTGGAGGATTCTTTCAATCTGTCTTTTAGTATGACAGTTGTTTATCCTGATTGCACCCCAAAAAATTTTGGTACACATGTATAACCCATAGCAGATTATACTCTACAGTTCATCTAAAATAAACAGTTCAGCACATAATGTTATATGAGATTGTAACAACTGTTGATGGTATCCACTAAGAACAGTTGGAAAAAATCCTGTTATCCCAGAAATGTGTCAGTATGATACAAGTTTTTGATTTTGTGAATCCAGGAATGCTTCTCTAAATACTCCTTTCTTTTCTCTTTTCTTTTTCTTTTTCTTTTCTTCTCTTCTCTTCTCTTCTCTTCTCTTCTCTGCCTGGCTTGTTTTGGTGGCTTGGTTGGTATATACTTTGTACCACTTTCAAATAAAAATTCTACGTTAGGCTAGGTTAAATATTAAAATGTGAAGTATTTCTGTAGCAAAATGCTAATGATACTCTCTAATGCCATCATGGATTCTTCTGTCTTACATCTCTTGCCTTAGTTAATATTCTGCTACAAGTTCCCTGTAGCTTACAGATAATTAAGAAACTGGGTCAGAATTTAGCTTAATAATGCATTACAGAGTGCACTTCAGAGTTGAGCAGAAAGAGTGGGAATGGGGGCAGGGAGAAATCTCTGCATATCATTATGTTACAGATTGGAGATGGCATTTTCATTTGCAAGATACATTAGTCTCTATCACAATTGGAGCACCATTACTTGCCTGCTGTTTAATGGGGATTTCCATACTGTGTTCTCAACTAGATTGGCAATACGGAATTTAATTAATTCTTTCCCTCTTCAATGTGACAAAGGTTTTCAAATTATCTCTGGTATGAAATTTTGTATTTTTGGAAAAAAGGATGCAAAGCTAACAATTAAGCTATGAAATGTATCATTTCTGATTAAATTGCAGTCTGTCTGCACATAGTGATACATACCATCCAAGACAGTCCACAGGAGTCAGTGTCAAACTCTCATGCACTTCAGAGGGCACAGAATTTTGAGTATAATAGAGCACCTTGCTTCCTGCAAAGTACCAGAGGAAATGTAAGATTATTCACGCAAGTGAGGCATTTCAAGAGATGCATGAATAGCGCAGTATGAACTGAAGCAAGAAACCAGAAAGGAAAAAAAACCCTGGCATCAGCAGTAATAACTTCTTTAAAAAGATAGGCATTTTTGTAAGACTTAGTCTCTTAACGTGATCACGTTTTTGGTTACTATAGATCTTGTGAGATCCTCTAATAAATCTTTATGCCTTAATAACACAGATTAGTGCCAGTCCTCTGCACATGTACATTTGCAAGTCATTTATGGAACATCTTCAAGCAATATAACAGTTAATTAAACTCAAGTAGCAGTTAAGCTAATTGGAGCATTAATTCATTGCAATATTTCTCCTATTTTTCTTCTGTTATATCTCCTACAAGATACACCGTTTTGATTATCAAGATCAAATACCATAAGTATACTATTGAACACAACTGGTTGCACAGCTAGTCCCATGGAAAGCATTTCACTCATGAAATAATGCAATAATCAGGTGTATCAGAATTTGATTGTCTGCATTTTAGGTCTTCAAAGAAGCTGAAAATTAAATTGTCAGCATTGAAAAGACACAGTTGTGTCACAGCAGCATCTGCAATACAAGTGGGTCTGTCCTACTATCCTCTTCCGTGAGATTACCTTCAGGTAGAGGTTTGGGAGGAAAAAGTCACACAGTAGGAATGTTTCTCTTGGTATTTTCTTCCTTTTCTGGTTATATCCTCACTAATAACTACAGAGTGCTAGGGACGTGTCAAACACTGTCCCACAATTGCTGGTTTAATGGTCAGCATGTCCCCTCAGCATGGTCTAGACCTCTGAGAAAATTGCCTGAGCGTAGTTCAGAGAATAACATGAGATCAGAATTTGGGCATAGGGGTGCAGGCTTTGTTGTGCTTAGGACCAGAGAATGGTCTCTATACTGATTTGATGTACTAACATAGATGTAGCCAAAGAGAGTAGTCTGAGGATGAGGAAGGAGTGACTGACTTCTTTCTTCATCTGCACTGACAGCTATGATACATGGAGGTTTCCTTTTCCCTGTGGATGGAGACAGAATGATCAGATTATGGGGTAATGCTCTATTAATTTCAGATAACACTGAGAATTAAATACTAATTTTTAATGTTAATTTTGCTAAATAAGAATTATTCTAATTTTAGAGACAGGAAAAACTGAGACAGTATGGTTTGCAAAAATGTTTGCCTAATGCGAGACAGACTGAGAAATCGATTGTTGCAATTATGAGTATTTTCTTCCTAGTGTATAATTAGAACTAGATCACTTGTATAAGCGAAAAAGCATGTGTATGTCGCATGTATAAGTAAAGCTAGACCACACCACTCTTCAAACAAAGTGAGAGAATTTCTAATCTTTTACAATAAAACTGCCATTAAAAGTTTCCATAAATCATACTTTTGAAATTTGTCTTTCTTTATCTGGTGAGTGATGTGGCTTATATTTTTCACTTATATGTGTTACTTATAAAAACACAAATAGTAACTGCCAATGTAATAATTCCTTTTGTATACACACAGTGCAGATAAAAATATCATTGATGTTCCAGAGAAGCTGAGTGATTTTAAACCATTAGATTTCTCTACAAACTTGTACATAAATAAATATTTACACATCCATTTTTAAAATGAGCCATTAATGCAAGACATAATCTAAGAATGTCAACCAATGTCACGGGATTCAATGATACAGTTAATTTTTACTATAAAAAATGTTTCATGCATAGCTACTTAGTCTTTATACTTGCAGTTCCTCAGGAAAAATTCAGAAATATTCAGAAGGGACTAGCTATATCTGTCAAACGGAATGTCTACTAGAAAAATGGCTGTTGTTTTGCAGTTAGGTATCCATGCTCATATTGTCCATGGGAGCTGTGAATTTCCAGTACTGTTGAAATTCAAGTTGCATAGGCACACACTTAAAATTAAATGCTTAGCTTCAAGAGCACGTGTTTGAAGCAGGCACTGTATGCTAGGTAGCACAAATCATTGTATTGCCTTGTATATGAAAATGCTGCCATACATGCATAGCTTTCCCATCCTATGTCACCATAGCGCTCGCTGAACTTAAGAGTACAACAGTTGCCTACTGGCTTTTGCATGGCCTTGTCAAATAACAATCATTTCTTTTCAGAATTTGCAGGTGATTGGAGCCATAGGAAATTCCCTTCTTTTTACGTGCATCTTCTTGCTTCTGTTCCTAAGGCGATTGTACCCAGAGACTTCTACAAAATGGTCTCTAGATTATTGTACGTGGACAGCTAGTGGCATGCCGGCCACTTCAGAGAGGTATTTACATTGTGCCTGAGCAGCTGGGAAATTCTCCCACTGCTCCTGCTGCTGCAGCTGCTGCATGCACCCAAGCAGGCCAAGCTGAGGAACACTGGTCTAAAGGACAGCTCGTGCCCACCAGACTGTTTTGCCTCTGCCAGTGAGTTATGGACATATTTTGTTTTCTTTCCTATTCTTCTACTTCTTTTGTCACATAGTTAACAATGGTCATACTTTCTGCTTCCAGCTCAAAAATTGGTTCTTGAAGGTCTTGATGGCCCTGCTTTCTCTGTGATTTTTACTGGTCTGTTTTTGAGTGGCTCTTTACCATGATCATCATCACTAGCTTTTCATAAATTAGCAGTACTTATTTATCAAGCCTAAGATTTCAGAAAATGGGTGAACTGGATGCTGCTTTACTATCAAATGATAACTAACATGCAAACAAAGCCTTGAGATAAGAGAACAAAATAAGACAAAGTTACCATAATGTTGAAATAAAATTAATTTGAGGTATAAAATACCACCACATCTACTCTTAACAAAGCTTCATATGGTTCATAACACAGTATGGGCCATAGCTTTCATGGACTTTCTCAGATTACAGAGAGAAAAGGTGAGAGACCTCCAAAGAGTGTTGTTTTCCTTCTGTCCTCTGGATGAGCTATCACAGACTCTCTGCTGCTTCCCTCCACCACATCCTGGCTGGAGCACCGCCTCCCAGCCACAGCTGTGCTTAGAACCACATAAACCCATGTCTTCACTGCAAACTGTAAATCACTGGAGAATTCAATCATAAGGATTTTTGTTTTCCTCTTCAGGTTTTAGACTATCTTGTATTAAACAGAAAAATAATTTAAAA